CCATTTCTGTTCCAAAGTCATAATATTTTGTGCTTTAGGTTGCAATAGCAGTGGGGTCAGACTTCCCAGTGTTTTTGCGAAGCACAAAATATTATGGGGCAATAGCTTACTTTATTTATTGGTTTGTATAGTTGGGCTAGGCGTGCCAAATAACTCCATCAGACAACTTTGCAAGGATATCATTTTTAGGCCAATGCCAATATTGCTTCATCCCAAACTAAAGCAACATAGGTGCGATCTGACACCGTAATCTTACCGTATTGATAGGAGGTAAAAGCTTTTACAAGTGGAAAGCCAAGTTCAAGCCAGCCTTCTGAAACTCATTATTGAAACATAGAAAAGATCTGGCAATAAAAGAGATAAGAAACGTTGCGAGTTGCTGAAAGTAACTGCTTCGCTGATAGCAGCGTCTTAACGACGCTCTCGCGTTTCTTATCGCCACCATTTTACCCCCATACGTATGCTTTTACAGCGAGTACGTCATGCAAGCAGGAGAAACCTATGGCTTTTTGACGAAGTTAGTGTGACTGAGTAAATGCATTAGATATTTGTCTAATTCACAGTGTTAAGGTATCTTTTCCACTCTCAACTTTTTTTACGAAGAAAAGTTATTCTTGCTATCTCTCATATCTTTGTTCATTGTAGCTTAATTTCGTTTTTTTTTCATTGCCACCGCTCATATTTTTCCAAATTCCCCTTCCTCTTAAATAACAAACACCTTTTTTTCATGATAAATGTGTTTCAACTTATTTTCATACATTAAACCTCATCTAAAATCTTCGAATTCTTCACAATGGTGAACGCAAGAATTTGCTAGAGAAAAAATGGGTATTACAATTGCTTCAACTTTCTGGAACTTCTGACCTAAGTTTTTACTTTTTTGTGACATGGAAATTTCTCAAGCCTAAATTTCTGTAGTCTAAATTGACGCTTACATTTTTCCACTAAATCTTTTAACAACTCACTTTCCTGTCTTGTCGGCTATTTAAGAAAATCTTTTGTGCACTTTTGTCAAGCATTAAGCAAGATTATGTTAGCTTTTTAGTATGTTCCTTTTCTATATTTTTCTGCAGTTTTCTTCTGCAGCAAATTTGTAGAAATTGTGGACATTGATTTATAATAAATTCGTAATGCGCTTTTGCTTCTTTACAAATGTAAGCATAAACACCGAAAAATGGAAAGGTTACTTATTCTTTAAGCAAAATCTTCTTGAACTTGACTTAATTAAAAAGTGGGAGAGTGCACACAAATTAGAGGATTTCCAAAGAGGGGTTGAGAAATTTTTAAAGTGGGGTAAAGATTTTTCATCTCAACTTCGGGAAATCTTGCACAAAAAGTGTGTGAAGGATCAGAGTTGAAAAATGCTTGTGATGTTACAAAGGGGGGAGGAGGTGTTGGAAATACACGCTTCTACCTTTATTACTCATTTCCACTACTTTTCATGTTTTTGCTCTTTTCTAGCGTTTGATTTTGAAGAGGTGCCGTTAGTGAACACAAATAATTGAAGTGGAAGGAGCGTGAAAAAGAATGATCTGTCACAAATATTGTTTGATTTTGGGATAGGACCAAGGCAGTTGGTAATGTAGGTTGCAATGAGTAGTACATCCTGAGATATGAAAGGCAAAGTTGATAAAAGGTCAGAAATATTTGATAAAAATGCTGTTATCAACATTGTTACTCATATGACATATCCACTATCTACTCCTCCTCCTTCTGCTGTATACTTGTCCTATTCTCATTAATGTATGCCATTATGTAGCCGACCACAATCTTTCGTATACTTTTTTCGTACTTTGCGCATTCGTATGTGTGTGTGTCCACGAAATGACCTTCACTAAAGTTTCAGTTCAATCTCAGCTGGTGGTATTGCCTCATTCGTTTGTTTGTGTGCGTGTGTCTGCTGTGTGTGTGTGCTGATCAACAATGGTACATCTTCCGGAGGATGCTCCTTCGCCAAGGCTTTGCTTGGTGGAGAAACTATCACCTGAACAGGTATGAATTTTGAGATAAAGAGTTAACTGCGATAGTTAGCTTTTTCACTTAATTTTTGCATTTTAATAGTATTTTTCATTAGTACATTTACCTTCGCCATTGACCCAAGCAGATTTTTATGTTTAGGAGATGGCCTTAAACAAATTTTATGGTTAGGGGAGGAGCGTACACAGTGGGCGTGACGAGTCCCGCCCTATTTAAAGCAGAAAATGGCCCGCGGGTACTATTCGTAGACATAAACATTTCCAAACAAAGATCAAAGGGTAAAACCCTTTGCCTTTCAA